CCTCTCTTCTTCCCACCCTGTGTCTCTTTGCTACCCTGCAGGAGCCTGGAGGGCGGTGGGTTGGGGGAGTTGATTTGAACTTGGAGCTGGAGCTTGGACTCTGAGGTTGAAGTTCATCACCAGGAGTGAGGGTTGGGAGCCCTTGAGCTTCTAGGACATCCGCGCTCCCGCTGGGCTTGTATTTTTGTGTCCCTCTGTCCTGGAGGTGGGGTGGGAGTCGGGAGGACCTGGGACTGGAGCCCTCTGCTCCCGCTCCCCCCCGGGAGGGGGTGGTGTTTTCTGGCCACGGGTCGCTGCTGGTTTGGCAGCCAAGCAGTGGCACCGAGTTCCAGGCTGCGATGGCTGGTGTCCGGGTCCCCAAGAGTTGAAGCAGAGACCATCTCACTTTGTGCCAGGTCGAGGACGCCCGGGAGCCCTGTCGAGCTGGGACCTCCTTCTAAGGGGAACTGGGGTGGGAAACGCTGGGGGGCTCTGCCTCCGGAGACAAGGTGCCCATCCCCAGCTGTGTGAGCCGCCAGCCTGAGCCTCGGAAAGAGGGGCCTGGGTTTGCTAAATCGCCCAGTGCTATTGCTTACCAATATCCCAGCCTCTCCAGTGCGTGTAAGCGAAGGAAAAGCCTCAGGGTGTAAGACTGTCACAGCGGCTCAGAGGCGGCCATGCAGGGCTGGGGGACTTTTCCTTTGGGGTGCCTCCTGTATGTGTTTGTCAGCATGCCGTCGAGCAGGTAAGGACTGATGGCCTACGTTTTATTGACAACCATATAACCTGTGCTTGACCCACCCCGGGATCATTTTTCTCTGTTTCAGGTGATGGGAATATATGTATTTTCAGATGGTTTTGTTATGATGCATAACTTAGTCCTATTCACATCCGTGAACCGTTTTAACTCCATTTACACGTTTAACATGCATGCAGGCACTGAAGCGTTCAACTTGCGTTGGTTTAAATGTTTAACAGTGTTGCCAAAATCATAAACTGGACCAAGGTGAGAGGGGGGGAGGGGGGAGGGGTAGAGAGCTAGAGGGAGGGATGAATCACCCCATAGAGTCTGTAAGATGATAGCACCAGAAATGCCTTAAAACAGTGTTGTTGTTAAGGTCACAGGCCTTAATATGTAAAGGACACTTGGAGAACTATTAAGGGCATCTTGAACTAGCGTTTAAATTCTGACTACTTCACAGGAATAGTTTATGTCATATTTTTAATTTAAAAAATCCTTGGAGTGGGGGTTGGTTGCCTTGTCAAATAGGATGGGAAGAGTTTGCCCCAAGGCAATGTTATATGTGACCCCAGGGTAGAAAGCTTGGGGCTTAGAAAACCATTTGGAAACTGAAAAATAAGATCTGAACAAATTTAAAAATATAATGGCAAACCTCCCATAAATATAGCTTTTTTTAAATTCCAAGTTTTGTAGATGCATAATTTTAGCAGCCAGTAGATATCTTCCACTATCGGATTGAACAAGAAAGCCGATTAGAATGGCAAGACACATTTTGAATGTTTTAATAAGTTTTAGTACTATTATGGATATTGTTATGTTGTGCTTACAGGTTGAAGGATCCTGGAGTCCCCACACAGTGAAGCCAAAAGTATTAATAAGACACAATCCTAAAACTATTCCTTTAACTTCTAACATTTTCTCTTCTCTAAGAAGTTGCGTTCTCTGGAAATATGTTTAGTACTTACATTTATTGCCGTAGATGCCTGATCAATAGTTGTTCTGCTTGTAAGGCTCACTGATAACATCTTGAGGAAATCTGAAAGATAATTGCAACTTTGGGTCATAAAATTGCAAAGTTTTATTACTTCTTTTTTTTTTTTAGTTTGATGCAAGAGGTAGTTTCTACTTCCCCGGAGAAAGCAATTTATCAATGAAGTCCAGTTCCTCAATTCCATTGCATTTTACCCTCTGGAGTTGTATTGTAGTGAACTTGCTCAGTGTGTGTGTGTGTG